TGATACCTGCTAGGTTCTTATAAGGACAAGAGCACCCAAAGTATTATGAATAGTGACTGATCGGCTAATCAAAGTTTCAAAGAATTATACATTTTTACATGAATATAACAATCTGAAGACCATAGTTCAAATGAAAAATAAAAATTTTATCCCTGATGTTTTCATCTGTTTTCTCCCTATCTTTATCATACTCTTGTTTTTTCCTTCGTATGTCTTTAATAGATATTACCCTTCTCCCTTCTGTATTTCTGCTTGGCTCTTCACTCTTGTCCTACGTTTTTTTGACATTTCTTCCTATGGCCAAATAGAATTGAAAAACATTTAAAGACTGTATTGTACTTACTTTATAAAGATTTCTAATCCCTGTTCTTAATTTAAAAGCAAGTCAATGGATCATCTTACATTTTTCTCTTTGTAGCCCTTTATTGATTCTGGCCATCTCTAATTCAGGGGTTCTCCAGAAGAGAAACGTTGCCCATATCATATATGGCCATTCAAGACTCTGAGTATCTGTAGGCCAGTCCTGTTCTGGCTCCAAGAGTTTACCTTGGCTTAGCGTGCAGGCTGTGGCCAACCCAACATCTGAAACATCAACTACAAAGTTAGTTTGACTTTTAGATCATAGCACTTTAGTTTTTAAGAGGTCTTTAGATGCCATTTAATCTTAAAGATGAGAAAACCATGACCCAGAGAGGTCATGTAATTGCTCAACACCATGAAGCTGGTAAATGTCAGAGTAGGACTGGAATCTGGATTCAGAAAAGTTTATATAATGGAAGAGTGGTGCTTATTTATATATTGGAATGGTCTATGGGGCTTGGGGGAAAAAAGAATTCTCTCTGCCAAAAAGTCAGGAATTATAAAGTAAAAAATAGCCCTGGCTGGTGGTTCTCAGTGATTAGAGTGTTGGCCTGCGGACCAAAGGGTAGAGGGTTTGATTCCTGGTCAAGGGCACAAACCTGGGTTGTGGGTTAGTGCCCTGGCCACCATCCGGGGCAAGTCTGGGAGGCAACTGGTCAATGTGTCTCTCTCACATCGATGTCTATCTCCCTCTCTCCCTTCCTCCTCCCCCCTCACTGCCTCCCTCCTGCTCTTTCTCCCTTCCACTCTTTAAAAAATCGATGGAAAAATATCCTCGGGTGAGGGAGAAAGAAAGAAAGACAAGAAAGAAAGATGGAAGGAAGGAAGGGAGGGAGGGAGGGAGGGAGGAAGGAAGAAAGAAAGGAAGGAAAGGAAGGAAAAAAAGAGCTTAAAAACATTTAAAAACTGTTAACATTAATTTTTTAACTGGTGCTAGGGTTGTGTTATTTGTATTTTTCTGATTCTGCCTTTGAGAGTTACTCTGTTTCTATGCTGATGATGAGGTATTATTGTTCTTCAGAATTCTCTTTGAGTAATACAGATATTACCTTTCATATAAAAAAATAATAAAGTTCCTTAAAAACATTCAAAAATTGTTGGTTGTATGAATACAGGATTATAAATCATGAAAAAAAATGTGTCTGGCACCTGCTTGACATCAGAATGTAGTATATGTATGTATTTGTACAAATCTGATTTGTTTGAACAAACCTTGATTTTATTGCCTTTAATATTTTTCTTCTTCATATTATAGGAAAGGGCTCTCCATATGGATTTTTAGTTTTTTTGATACATTTTGTCATTAAAACATGAAATAAGTAGCTTTAGGATAGCCGTTCTATTAATATATCCTTTTCATCAGACTAGTGGCAGCTTGCTCAGCTTGTTTGTTATTAGAATTGCTGGGGAAATTTTGTGAAGTTAGTTAACACAGGGTATAGAGACAACTGATCATGCAAGAATCGGAAAAGGAAATTTTTCTAATCATATTGTAGAAGGTAATCTGAGAACTACTGATACTGTTTCTTTTTATTTTATTTAATTTTTTTACTGTTTCTTAATTAATGTATTAAAAAAGATAAATTCTGAGGACGTTGTAATGACTAAAAGAAAGGACACTGGTACCACAATGAGAACTGTTTTAGTAGAGTGATTCAACTTGAAATCAGCCATGAATGAACAGAGGCCATGAGAGTATCCAGTGTAGTCTAGAAATAAAAAGCAAATGAGATGGTGAGTATGACATACAGGAAGTTTCACAAAGACAGGATTAGAAGTTTCACAAAAACGGGATTACATACAAGCTTGTTCTGTGAGGACTGGACGTGCCTTATTGTGTCACCAAGGTCCTCAGTATGGGAGTCAGAGTTTCAGGAACAGCTGCTTCGTGGCGCTGTGTGATGTGAATTGTGTGATCAGGCATGCACTATTCTCCTATTGTATTTTTCAAGGCCTGTGAAATAAGTCAGTGAACTCATTTTCTCACAGAAAAAAAGAACCTTTTCCTTAGAAAAGTTCTAAATTTCTACTATGGAAATTTATTACCAAGTACTGCTGATTCCTACCATTTTGTATCTCTTAAACCATCTGTCTCTCTCAATAATGACCACCACAACCTTTGTTCAAACTTGGACTCTTTACCACCATATTCCACATTGCTGCCAGAGTGATTTTATTAACTGAGTTGTGTTATTTTCTGTTTAAAGCCCTGCAAAAGCACTTCATGACCTTTAAGTAAACTTCAAATTCTTTAACATCTCATATAAAGCCTTTATGACCCAGTTCTCGGTAACTTCTGCAGCCTTATCTGTCATCAGCCCATGTTCCAGCTAAAGTTAGTTATCCACTTTTTCCTAACTTCTCATGTATCTGAGCTTTTATTTGTGTTACCTCCTTTCCCTTCCTAACTTTCTCATCCTTTACTTGTTTTCTCCTATTCCTCCTTTCTAGACCTTGCTCAGGTATCATCTCCAGGAAGTCATCCTTGATCGCCTCCTCTTAGTGCTCCATCACATCTATTATAATCTTGAAATAAATAGTAGTCTCTTTTTCCTATTAGACCTTCAGCCACTTGAGGATGCAGATCATGGTTTATGTAAATTATATTTCTAGGATTTAGCAAAATGTTAGTCAAGTAGTAGGTGTTTGATAAATATTTATTGGATAAATAAATCTCTTAAAAGATAAAACGATCACCTTCTATAGTGGAATAACCGCCCCCATCTTGTGGCCTTATAGGATAGTTCCACTATAAACCTTTGAAGTCATCTTGTCTTTGTAAATTAAGGGTACAATTGATACCACCTTTATGTATTTGCTCAGTTGTGTTTTTTTTTGAAAGTTTTCAACTTTTTTTTCCAGAATTTGGTATGGCAGGCATTGCTTACATGTAGCAACCCAGGCAGATCAATCCTTTGCAGCTGTTCTTATAATCAATATCAGTATCTATACTATTCTATAGTCATATTAATCCAGCAGTGAGGCCCCACTGATCCCGCAGCTGGGCAGAGTCTTTGCTTGGCTTCATCATATTCTGGTTATTTTGAACACATAGATATAGCCTGGGGAACAATTGGTGGTATAAAGGACATGGTTATTCTTAATGAAACATGATGACAGAAGAACAAAAAGGTTGCTTTTAGGAAGAGCTGCATGAAGTATATATCCCACTTGTATTTTTGGTGGACATGATAAAAGTTTTAGCCAAGTCTATCAATCTTTCACAATTCCCAGATGCAAAAGAAAAGACATAATAATTTTCTACAAAAACCCGTTTTGTAGGCAGCTATCAAAGTCAATCTAACTTTTTCCTCTGCTTCAGTGGCTTCCTAATGGTGAAAAAATGGAATGGGGGAGTATTGTATGAGAGTCATAGATTTCTGTAGAGGAGAAAGTTTTCTGTATTATTGACTAAGCATGTATTGTTGCTTAGCTCCACTTGTTTTCTAGCTTGAAAATTATTAATATCTACATACGTTTATTTTCATTAATACCCACCAAAAGTCCTTAAGTGGGGAAGAAAAAAGGCTGCAAGAGATCAGTGCAGATTATGGGATCTATAAGTGTGTCTGTAGTTAAGCTAGGGGACACTTAACTTTCTGAACCCCAGTTCTCTCACCTGTCACATGACATCCAGAATGGGCATGAAATTGCATGAAGACACTGTGTACAATTCCTGGCACATAGCAGGTACTCAAAAATGTTACTTAGGATAAGATTGAATATGACTCAGGCTGGTTCTAGGCATCTCTGTTTGCTCATCCCATTTATTTTCTTCTTGCTCAGTTATTTTGATGAATTAAAGCTGACTGCTGGTTTTGTCTCAGGAAGTGGGAGTTTACTGCTTCTATCCTAGTTGAAATCATAGACAAAAGTAGAAAGATTGATTTCTAGGCTTGGTTGTTCATTGAAGTTCAATTTACTTATAGACAATACAGATTTATTGAGCATTTGTGATGTGTCAGGCTCTGGACTAGATGCTGGATATTAAAGATAAAGATGACATAGGTCCTTATCCTCAAAGAAACTATAGTCTTATGAGCAAGTTCATCACTTAGAGTTTTTGAGTCGCCGTGTGAATGAAGTGAAGAAATAATAATGATAGTCTTTGAGTTCTGACCTATCTAAACAAATCAGCCAACGAATGAAGCATTTCTTCTCTGGTAGTGAGGATATTTTAGTAGAGGTTGGAGCTTGTGGGAGACACTACTTTGTGAACTATTAGCTAGTAAATAATTTATCATTTTAATTAAATAGGATTTTTTTTCTAAATTCCTTTGCTATGGCTCCTTTCTTTTTTGAGGTGGTAGACAATAGTACTGTAATGTACCAAAATAATTTTCTAGAAATAAAATAATGTTTGAGATATGTATACACAAAAAATTCAGACCCTTGATTTCAGATTTATCCTTAGATGTGATGCTCTCTAATTTAAAGCTTGATATCTTCTCCCTCTCTGTTCCTTGGTAGTTTATAAGTAGTTATTTTTATTAGGAAATACCATTCTTAAGTTCTTTCCCACGTTGTTGCATGTATGAACCCGCAGAAACTCACCATGGCTCATTGATGGGAACACAGAGGAAATGTTAATTACATTCAGAAGTGGGTAGCCCTGTCAGTTACTCTTCTTTGTTTTACAGAGATGAACGAAATCAGTCCATCATTGTAAGTGGAGAGTCTGGGGCAGGAAAAACAGTCTCAGCTAAGTATGCCATGCGATACTTTGCCACTGTAAGTGGTTCTGCCAGTGAAGCCAATGTTGAGGAAAAGGTCTTGGCCTCCAACCCCATCATGGAGGTAAGACAGCAGGCTTGCCTTCTTACTATATTCTCTTGTTAAGAAGATACAGCACATGTGAGAAAGCCTACTTTCCACTAAAAGTAGGAAAATACTTTTTCTCATGTTAGTGAGAGATCTAGAAACAGTAAATGTTCAAGAAGGTAGATATTTTGAGTATAGTTCAACTGTAGAGGAATTGACTTTATTTCATGATCCTGCATTTTCAACCTAGCATTGAATTATTGCCTCTAAAGAGCTGGCAATGCTACTTCATTTCCTGAAGTTTCTTACTCATCGTTAATCGACTCAAATCGATTGCTCCTCGTTCTAGAAGTATAAGTTATTCATTTCCCCTCAACCCCGAGTTCTTATTTAAGCTCCTTCCAAAATATAGGATTCACTATGTTCGAGCATGAATGAGTTTCATTATTCCTTTGTCCACATTTCATTTTATGTACTTAGCCCAACCAGTTTAGCTATAAAATTTGAATTTTTTTCCAGATTTGAACTATAAACTTAAATCATGACCTTGTAAACATTTTCCTTCTTGTTTTTGTCAGTCATATCACATAATTTTAGGTTAGAAAAAGAAATTCAATAACTATAAATTCTTGAGAAAGGAAGAACTATGAAAGGCTGTCCTTTTAAAAGTGGAATATGTATATCAAGTAGAAATGCTTGTGCCAAAGAAAATGGACCTATTTGTGTGAGAATTTTAGTATTTGTAAGTAAAGAATTATTTGTCTAATATGATTCTAGGAAAGTTACATTTTTGTTAAGTACTCCCATTAAATGGAGAAAAATAAGTCTTATTAAATGGAGAGAAATTAGTTTGCAGAAACAAATCTTTTTTATTAAAATTCAAATCAGCATATTTTATTCCTGTTTTTTCCTTTGTCAAGCCTTATTTGCCACCCAAACACAGATGGAGTTTAGAACTGGCCTGGTGCACTCGTGGTACAAGTGGTTTTTGCAATAATCAGTCCAGAGGTAATTGTGCCTGGTTTGCAGTGCTGTGTGTGACACTTCAGAGCAGATGCTGTGACCCATTGCTTATAGGGCTGCCTCCTAAAGCCGCAGGACTTCTCTTCTGGGGGAAGTGAAGAGGCCTCCTGGGCTGGGTGCACTGTGGAAAGAGAACTGGAAAAGTTTTCTGAAATAGCATGGACTGGAGGAAACAGAAGTTTGTGCCAGAAGAGAGTAGTAAAGATTTTAAGCAACTATTAAGATTTTTAAGAATTTAAGCTACAGTAGTGGGTGCTACTAGTATTAATATTGGGGCATTTCAGTCTGTAGAGCCAGTTTTGGGATTTGGCTCAGGAAACAACAGGGCTTTACTTCTTACCATTATTTTAACTGTTTTCGGTCATGACAATGAATTCTTAGTATATGACAATAGTTTAGGCCATTCTTAGTCCTTAATGTTAGAATATGCCAAAGTCTTCATTGTGATGGTATCAGGAAATTCCATCTTTTCTAGGCCTGGACCATATAGTAATGTAAGTCTGGAATGAAGCTGCTAAAATATGTCAAATTGATTGAAATAGTTTATGACCTTGCTATATTCTCTTTCCAAAAATAGCTACATTGGTTTTTCTGCAACACAGGTTTTAGTTGTGTTAGTGGAGTGATATTAAAAATTTGAAATAGCCATAGAGACTAATTTTTAATATGCTGACATAAGGAATTTACCCTCTTTGCTAGGATGAGCAAAAAAAATAATAATAATAAAGCCATCAGTTATGCTTAGCTACTTCCATCTTTATTATTGTTTAGTTTTTCTATAAGAACTTAGAGAAAGAAAATCAGTAAAGAGATAACTAATTTTAAAAATCTATCAGTGGAGGCATCCCAATTTGAAAGATTAAAATGGAATATGGGGCTTACGAATGGGGACAACGAGTTTACAGTATAAGAAAAAACAACATAAGTACAATATTGAATATGTGGCACATAAAATTTGTAGCTTTAAACCTGCCTTCAGACTATGTCGTTGTATCAGAGCCCTTTACTGTGATTTCAAGAAAGGCGAGTCCAGATTGCCAGTGATCTGCTGAAATGCCTCCTAGGATAATGAGCATTCTTTATGGTTAACATCACAGCCCAGTGGCTAATAGGATTTGCACATTATCCTTCAAAAAGCAAGCTCCTCATCCTCAGCATGGGCTCCTTTTGCAAAATACAAATGATGTACAAAGAAGTGATTCTTTTTGCTCTATTTTATCACATTTTCATTTTCTCCCTTTCTCCTGGAAATTTTTGCCCTGATGGGGACATAGAAGATCTTTGGGGCACTTTGGGTCTTTCTTAATTGTTCTTTTTCATCTTCAGTAACTGTAGTTGAAGAGCTTCATCTTCATTTAGTAAAGAAGAAGGATAAATCACTGAACATTTTACTGAAGTCAATAGTAAAATCAAGATCACACATTTTCTCCTTTCCTGTAGCAATTTCTTGCTGAATGAAATGAAAATAGCATTAAGGGAGGCTGTTGTAAATACTTATAAGGCAGAGGAAACACTTAGGGAGGATGGACAAAAGGTACTGTTTATATATAGAACCATCTTTCCATATCAGGTTCAAGCCTTAGAATCATGTCTTTTTATTTTAAAAGAACCTGAGAACTCATCTATCCTAGGCAGTTTATACTTCGAGACACTAAAGCTCCTCAAAGGATTAAATCAGGGGAATGTCCAGCCCGTTGGCCGTGAAAGGCCCACAAAATCATTTGGGCTGGCCCAGCCAAGGCATTAGGGGTGAGTTAATTAAATGTCTGACCAAATAGAGCAGGCTAATTTTTAAGTGGATAATTTTGTATGGCCCTTGAATGATGTTATAAATAGCCAAATGGCTCTTGGCAGAAAAAAGGTTCCCCACCCCTGGATTAAATGATGGCAAGTTGGTAGTAGGGCCTGGTCTGATAGCCACATCTTTAGACTTCTGTTTCATTGGCTTCTTTTACCATTTTTTGCTCTATGTATAAATACCTTTTACTCAAAGGCAAAGGGGTATATTTTAACCCTTGCCTACCCACTGTCTCTTCTCACTGAGTAGAGAGGAGAGAGATGCCATATGGCAGGTGAGATAAGGAAGGGAGGGAGGAGAAGCTGTGGCCACCTTTCCCTAACTTGCTTAGATGCTGGCAGGAAAGTACTTGGACAGTGCCTGGTAAGCACTCGGTAACTGCTGCTGCTGCTGCCAGTGCTGCTGCTGCAACCCTCCACCTGCTCTTTCACAGAATATATGGTGTTGAAAGAAAATTCTGCATTTATCATTAATTTCCTTTTCTAAACAAAATAAAAATAATGGGAATATATGGAGACTGTTTGCTGTGCTTTTTAAAATATCAAGAAGGGGAGCCCTGGGTGTGGGTTCAATTCCGGTTTAGGGCACATACCTAGGTTGTGGGTTTTCCCCCGGTTGGGGCATGTATAGGAGGCAACCAATCCATGTTCTCATTCATTCTCATTCTCATTCTTATTCATTCTCTCTCTCTCTCTCTCTCTCCCTCTCTCTCCCTCTCTCTCTCCTTCTCTCTCCCTCTCTCTCTCCCTTCCTCCCTCTCTCTTTCCCTTCCTCCCTCTCTCCCTCCCTCTCTTTCTCCCCCCCTCCCTCCTTCCTTCCTTCCTTCCTTCCTTCCTTCCTTCCTTCCTTCCTTCCTTCCTTTCTAAGATCAATAAAAAAGCATATCCTCTGGTGAGGATTTTAGAAAAAGAAAAAAGAAGGGGAATATTTGAGTAAATATCTGTATTGTTAAATTATGTCACGCTGTTATTTTTGCTGGGAAGATATCTTTCAGTCAGTCTTTTCATTAAAAATATTAATTGAAATACAGCAGTATTCTCATTGCCAAAACAAAATAGAGTAGTACCTGCCCTGTATTTTAGAGAGCAAAAATATATTTTCTTTGATGGAGCAGATAATCTAATATGTTGACTTTTGTGGCTATGCTACTTTTTTCATCACATATTTGCATTGCTCCCCCCCTTTTTTAACACTCCAGAGCATTTTTACATCTTTCTTACTGCTATGGTTTCAGTATAATAATCTTGATAGTCACAGACTTTGCACAAGTAAAATAATCTTATGAAAGTATCATATTGAAGATTTAATATATGCATTTTATGAACACTTGATTTTCTAACTGTACCATGTTTTTTGCTTTGCTGAAAGAAAAATGTTAGAAGCATGTTATCTTAATTGTTAAGATTATATTAAAAATTTAGAAGAAGGTTACATTCTCTGCATTCTGTAGAAGATGTTTTGCAAGTTAGATAATACTACCGAAATCCAAAGCCAAATTTTACTGTCTCTGGTTTCTGAAAATGATTTTGAATGGAGTGAGTAATTACTAATTCTCCAACTGGACCTTTGTTGTCACAGGATGAGCTGATAGGAACTTCTGCTAAAGAGATCCTGAACACCAGAGCCACATTTTCAGGAGAATATTAATTTTGCTTAGCCAGCTTATTTAAATAAAACAGACTAAGATTTTTAAGAAATCAGAACCCTGATATTTAACTAAGAGGGTTTGTGCCTTGGCAGCTCCCAGTGACATCCATTCTGTTTCTTTGCTGCCATGAATGAATGTGTTCAGATACACACATGGTGTATGAAGACCTCCCAGCTGTGGTTCAGGTTTACTGTTTCTGAAAATAATTTGTGTGAGAATAATAAGGCAGATGCAAACTATTAGTATATATCTGTGTGGTTGTGCAGTGAGCAAAACATACACTTGTGCCCGCAGAGGCAATATTTGTTCTGGTCTTAAAAGAATCAGTTTTAAAGGATCGTGTTCTACTCTGTCCTTTCATTGAACCAACTCTGTAAATGCAGTGTCATGAATTGCATTTCTAAAAGATGGTTGGACTTTGGGTGGTGGGCACACAGTGCAATATACAGATCTTGTATTACAGAAATGTACACTTGAAACCTATATGATCCTATTAACCAATGTCACCTGAATAAGTTTATTTTAAAAAATAATAAAATCTTATCCTCTCCCCCCACCCCCCTGCCCTTGTTTCTTAGTCAATTGGAAATGCTAAGACAACCAGGAATGATAATAGCAGCCGTTTTGGGAAGTATATTGAGATCGGTTTTGATAAGAGATATCGAATCATTGGTGCCAATATGAGAACTTACCTTTTAGAGAAATCCCGAGTGGTGTTCCAGGTAAGTTGGGCATGTACACATATACGTGTGTTAGGTTGCCATAGAATTCCAGAGCTCATGCTTGCTGGTTTGCATTTTATTTTCAGATATTCGTGAGTGTATTGTGACAATATTAGCACAAACCACATTTGGACTGAAACATGAAAATGATGCTTGCTGAAGGTGGGGGAATACCCATCAGACGCAAGCATATTGAACTCGCAGCCGGCAGGCCGCATGCTTCATTTATTTAAAGGAGGCATGCAGCCTGCCAGCCGCGAGTTTGACATGCTTGCATCAGAGTAATGGTCTTTTGGGCTGGACACTGGTTTAGGTTTAATAGTTTTGGCTTTTTCCAGCAGATGCTTGTAGGATAAGCTTAGTTAAGAAGAGGTGCTATTATTTCAGTCTTGTCTCTCATAATTTCAATTGATAGGAAAAACATTGGTTTATGTGTTCAATGAGTTATAGTTTGAACTCAATTTAAGAAAAAAAATTATTACTGTTTTCTTTCCTTCTTCTTCCTCCTCTCTTAGAATATGATATTATTTAGATAGAGTAATGAGGGTTTAAAAAATCCTCACAACTCATTTGTGAACTACTGTCAACACACTCAAGTTTATATGTCTCTGCAGGAAATCCTTCACAAATCTGTTCCTGGTCCTTTTTTATCTGTAAGTGGGAAATAGTATAGATTACAACATGGGCAGGTGTGCGTCGATATATTTACAAGCATGCGAAGGAAATATGTGCTTATCATTGGAAAACTCCCAGTAGAAAGCTCCTGATGCCCCACTGCATGCTGTGAGATCAGGGTTTCTGTAGCCCCTTAACTGGATGCCCACTGCACTGAAGTTCAGATTCCTCTGGCACTGCCATGTAGTAGCATCTACAGTTTTCATTGCACAAGTCAGTTTTGAAAGTGCCTGGGACATACTGGGAGCCATGAGTTTTGGCAGGCTGCAGTTACCTTGGCTTTGACATTGGGCATGTGCCTGATTTGTGGCCACCTAAAGTATAATACCGAGTAAAGCAATAGCCACTCTTCTCCATTGTTTTAATATGTAGGTACACATAGAGCAATGTTAATACTTACACGTATATACTTGTATAGGTTTTAAAAAATGTTTAGTAGCCTAAAGGAAGAATGGGGAAAATATGTAGATTTAAGGGAAAATTGGGTTTAAATAGTACAGATATGATTGATAGATAAACAATTAAAGGTTAAGTGGATATGGTGGCCAGAGGCTAGTAGGGCTTAAGACAAAATGTTAAGGCCTAATCCTATCTTATCTAGCGATATTGAAGCAATTCTAGTTGTTGCCCAATCCCCAGGGCTAAGTAATATTGAGGATGCGTGGTATGCCAAAATGAGTCAGATGGAGCCTAACTGATATTGTCCTCCATGTACAGAGGACCAAAGCATTTCTGTAGGTTCACCCACTTTCCTAGTTGTCCGTGAGCCAAATTACCTGATCATGCTTATGATTATTTGTTATATTGTTAATGTGTCCGTGTCTTCTGTCCCTGTAATAGGTATTCTTTACCCAGCATCAGCTCCCTTTGGGCATCAAACCTGACCTTGGCCTTACTTTCACTATTCTTTAGTCAGCTGAATACACTGAATAATTCAAGGATATGATAATATAGTATTTAATTTTGCATGAATATTATTACAACTGTATTTTTAAAATATATACTAGTATGTGGAAAAATATTCAAGAGATACTAAAAAATTATTTAGATTTGTACATTATTTATTTTATATTTTATAAAATATTTTTATTAATATTAAAATATATAAGCCAAAATACACAAGATGTAGTGTATTTGTGAATTTCTTAAAACAACCACAGTAGATAGGCCAGTCTACATTATGGCAAAGGTAAGATATTCTTTGTCATCCAAGGTGTTAGGAAGACCATGAATCTAAGAGGCACTGTGAGAAAATATTGAGTATTCTAAAAAAATGATTTTAGCTTCCCTCAAAGGCAATGATTTCTTATGACAATGGTATATATCAAGCTGTTCACAAGTTCAGAAAGCATTACTATCAGATATTTTATGTGCATACTTACCCATTTGCACATGGCTAATAAACCATAAGATTTAGTAATCATAAATACATATTAGGAAATTTGGGAAAGGACAGTTTATTGCACCAAGATTAAATATTAAATTTTTATTTTATGTTTGAATTTTCTGAGTTTTAGGTTAAAATGATGTAATTGAAAACTCTTCTTATTTTAAAGGCAGAAGAGGAAAGAAACTATCATATATTTTATCAGCTTTGTGCCTCAGCAAAGTTACCTGAATTTAAGATGTTGCGATTAGGTAAGAATATGGCATTAGATTTATTGCACTAGTATTGTTTTCTGTTAAATTATGTTAATTATGAGTTTATAAGCTTACTTGTTAAAAAGAAGATTATCTCATACTGAAATATTTATGGATGACATAAGAGGTCTTGGCTTCAAGGTAACCCATGGGATAGGGAAGGAGGAATAGCTGTCTAAATGAAACAAGATTGGTCTTGTTTAAGATGAATAATGAGTACACAGGTGCTCATTATACTAGTCTCTCTACTTTTGCATATGTTTGAAATTTGCCTTACTAAAATAAGTTAAAGGAGTTTATGTGATGGAAGCCTGCGAAGTTTCTGATGAGGGGAATGAAGTGTTTGAAGCATGTTGATTGGAATAATACCGATATAGGAAAAGACTATTCGTTTCACCAAATAAGATAAGTAAACTATGAACATTTCACTTTATTATATAATTTTGAGTTTTTTATTAAAATATAATTGAAAACACAGGCAGTGGAACTCCTGACTCTATACACTCAACTGCACGGTCATTGCTCCTAATTCAGAGTAGACGAAAGGGTAGAAATCTATTTCATAGACTGCAAATCTTTTCCTTCTTATTTGCAGGAAATGCAGATCACTTTCATTACACAAAGCAAGGTGGCAGTCCGGTGATTGAAGGAATCGATGATGCCAAGGAGATGGCCCATACCAGGCAGGCCTGCACTTTGCTAGGTAATGTGATTTTATTCTTGAGCTCTATGAGCAATAGCTTTTTGACTCAAGCAACCTTTATTTGGATTATTGACTTAGCTTCATATTAAGTGGTGAGTATAGTTGAGGGATATTTAACATTCCTTATAAAACACATTTGGACAGCAAATGGGCACAAGTTTTTTTGTGTATTTTTTTTTTGCCCAGAGTGGGAACTGTTCTAAAATTAGATTGTGGTGATGGTTGCATAACTTTGTAAATTTACTAAAAGTCATTGAATTGCATACTTACAACAGGAATTTTAAGGCATGCAAATTATCCTTCAATAAAGCTATTTAAAATGCACATTCAGGACATCAAGGGAGGTAGGACTAATTAACTCTGCTTAAGTTTTTACAAAATCTAAAACCTAGAGATAAGTGAAATGGGTTCATATTTTGTAGGGGTTTTTTTGTTGTTTTCTGTGGCTGGAAAATGTGACTGAGCTGGTTGGGTGACAAAACAATGTATTACACGTTGAAATGACTCAGATGTCACTGTCTTGTTTCTGATATTTAAAAAATATTGGGTCTACATATAAATAAATAATTCTTTAGAACTTAGTGTACAACTTTCATGATGAATTATTTATATAAAAACCTCAAAATATGAATAAATCTAAAATTGTATGTTGGTAATTTTGAGGGTACCCTGAAGTGAATTAATGTAATTGAAAAGCATTGCTATTCAGAGTATGGTCCAGAACCACTATCGAGCTTGTAAAAATTCAAAATCTCAGATCTAACTCAGACCTACTGAATCAGAATCTGCATTTGAAGAAGATACATGGGTGACTCATATGCATATTAAATTTTGACAAACAATGCCTTCTAGGCATAAATCTGTTGATAAATAGAAAATTAGAAAACAAAACATAACTCAGGAGGTGGCAAGAACATTCATTATAAGATCAATGCTTAGTTCCCCTGGATATGATTACACATTTGGAAATAATTTTACTCTATTTACTTGTATGTATACATATCTAATATTCTGGAAATTCTTACCTTATTGAAAAATGAAGGCAGATCTGATCAAAAGCCAAGAGCTGTCCAGCTTTCTTATCCTCCCTTATACTCAGGTCCCACGTTAATGCTGCACTTGGACACTCATTCATCAGCCTGAACACTTTTAATCTTGGGGTCTCTTTGGCTTTTACTTGGTCTGTAGTTAAAAGAATTAAAAATCTGACTTAAAACTTCCTTATTGGGCTACAATTTGCATTTGAAGTAGAGATGAAAAGAAAAGGTAATAATGTTAATAAAATACTTAAATCTCGTTTATGAAGATGATGATAATTTGCTTAGCATTTACCATGTGTCATAGAGTGTACATTTTCTCATTTAAAGTTCGTAATCACTCTTTGAGATAGTCACAATTATTCCCATGTCTCAAATGAGAAAAAAGAAGCGTAGCAGGGTGAAGCTACAGGCCCATGTGAGATGGCAGGTCGGGAGCAGAGCCAGGCCTTGAGCCCAGGACCAGGTGTGTCTCACTCCACACCTCATGCTCTCAACCATGATGGAAATAATGTTAACTATGATACATTATAATGTGCACAATATCTGGCAATGTTTAAGAATTAAAAATAGGCTTAAAATTATCTGCTATAATTATTTAAGAATTAAACATAGGCACATAGGCTTAAAGTTGTCCGCTATTTAAAAATTAATCACTGTTCATTTACTCTATTGTTTCAGGTATTAGTGAAAATTATCAGATGGGAATTTTCCGAATACTTGCTGGCATTCTTCACCTAGGTAACGTTGGATTTACATCTCGAGATTCAGACAGCTGCACAATACCTGTAAGTTCAGAACAAGCTTGGTGTGATGGCAGTTGATTTGTATTTTAGATTTGTTACTTCTTTATGGAAGAAATATATTTGAAGTCTCTCTGTGAACATTATCAGAGAGATAATTATCAGACATGTGAAATCCTAAAGTGAAAATAAATACAGATTCTAATCCCTGGTGCACAGTGATTGTGTGTGTGTGTGTGTGTGTGTGTGTGTGTGTGTGTGTGAGAGAGAGAGAGAGAGAGAGAGAGAGAGAGAGAGAGAGAGAGAAAGGCAAAGACAGAGAGACAGAGTATAGGAGACTCAAACTTGTATACATGTCTGATCTGTATAAACAGAGGTTAGAAATATATATGAAAATTGGATTGATGAGTCTAGCGAGAAGGTTTTATTTGGCACAAGTGCCAAGAATTAATAACTTTATTTTTTCTCCAGCTGATATGGTTCAAAAACTATTCAAAAACTGTTAGCGGTGGTTACTCCTAGGAAGAGGGACTAGATGGCTGTGAGATGAGGTGTCTTCACTATGATTTACATATTCTTCCACACGTAGTGATAACTGCACACAGAATTAAAACGCACTTCCATATGTGAAAACATTTGTTTAAACTAACAAACCTGACAATCCAAATTGTCCTCATTGGGCATTTGTGATTTGTAGTGTTTGCTGATCATTATCATCAAAGATAACACACACACATACACACATACACACATACATATGCATATGTACCGGTATTTATTGGGTATCTTTTAACTTTATTATAATAGAGGAAGTTTTAATATAATTAATTCTTTTTCCAACCTGCTTCTTCAAGGATTGTAATAGAAGATAATCTTGAGATTTGTGTTTGATTCTTCAGATATCTTAGTTGATATTAGCAAATTTACATGTAGATTAACTTGTGACTTAAATTTGGGTAAATTCAACTTTAGTTTTGAAATATATGTTTCAGTATCTCTGTTTCGGTTCGGTCCCAACTCTGCTATTTACTCACTGTGTTTTTGGGTAAGTAGCTTTGCTTCTTTGAACCTCAGTTTTGGACTAGGTGCTTTCATTGACCTTCATGCTGAATAAATTATATTTTAAAATATTTTTAGAAAACACATAAGAACCACTCAGAGGCTAAAAACTTGGTAGAAATAGGAATGCAGAGAACAAAGCAGAACCCTAAAGTTAAGACTCATCTTGAGGAAATTTGCAGAACCCAGTGATCATGAGCTTTGGATTTCATAGCTAAGTGGGATGCAGAAGAGAAAAGATAAAGCCTAGTACTTACATAAACAGGGGAACAAATACGGGAACCACTACTAAAACGGAGACCCTAATCGGGGAACTAATAATAAACTTGTCCACCACCCACTCCAAGAGTACAAAGAAAAATTCATCAGGCTCAAGCCTTAGTGCTCAGTAGAGGAGGAAAATATAGTTCCCTAAAAATTTATAGCAGTGAATTGACCATCACACATACTCCCAGGCTGATTTCATAGTTCCTGGATGATCCCAGAAAGCTACATACAGAAAACTTAGCTAAATTTGTCCTGCAATGGTAGTGCTCTAGATGTTGGACAGAAGCAAATGCAGATTTACTTTGGAGGATCCACCTTCAATCAGGGCCTCAATAGAGTTGAGAAAAGTTACAACAAATATTGGTTCATAGTCAAAAATCTTGAATACCACAATGAAACAAAATAGAAGGACTTAGGTAAAATAACAGAATAGCAAAGGTCAAACCTAAGAAAGAAATTAATAGATTTGACACAACTAAGGAGAAAACTGATTAGCTAGAAGCTAAATGGGGAGAAATCCAAAATGCATGAAGAATTACTTAAAATAATAGATAAGAGAGATGAAGGATAGAGTAATAAATTCTAATTTTAATCTAATGAGAATTTCTGACAGAGAAAGAAGAAAATAAGACAGACATAATGTTTGAAAATATAATTTCTAATAAATTTCAGAACTTGTGAAATGTCACTAAACTACAAATTTAGAAAGTCCAAAAAATCCCTGTTAAAATAAAGAAAAAGAAAATCCACCTCTAAGCACCATAATGATACCAAATGCAGAGAGAAAAATCTTCAAACAGGCAGAGAAATATGACGTTCAACAATACTCTTGAAGAAATAGCAATTAAATTGACAGCTCATTTTCCGGTTTCTACAATGAGACAGAAAACAGTGGACTACTATGTTTATTGTTATAGAATAAGTTACTATTAACTTAGAATTGTATATCCAATAAAAATATCTTTCTGGAATGAAGGAAAAATGTCTATTTTAGACAAATAGACATTTGTGAGAATTTGTCACCAATAGGCCCTCACTAAAGGAAATATTAAAGGACATAGTTTAGGCAAAAGGAAAATGACCCCAGGCAGAAGATCTAAAATGTGAGAAGAAATGATTGAATAGACTAGTAAAGTCCAGGAAAATATAGATAAAATTTGATTAGTTACAACAATCATAATCCTATCTAATAAAGGGAGAATATGCAAATTGACCATCACGCCATAACAAGATGACAGTGCCCACAGCAGAGGCTGGGATCCCGTAACATAAGGTGGCTTCACCCACAGTGGTGGCGGGGTTCCCATAATGAGCCGTAACGAGCTATCAGCAGAGACCTGAGGCTGTCTGGCGCTGGGCTGGGGCAGGGGACCTGAGGCTGCGCCCCCCGCCCAGTGGGGCTTGATGGGGCACCTCAGGCCATGCCTCCCACTCCAGCGCCAGGACAGGGGACCTGAGGCCACGCCCCCTGCCTGACTTGGCTTGACGGGGGACCTCAGGCCATGCCCCCTGCCCTCAGGCCACGCCCCCC